ACATGAAATTTAAAGAAATTAACCAAAGAACACCAAGCCTGAGTCAGATGACCCGAATAATTAAACCGGTTACCGATTAAAAAAAAAACTATTTACAATCAAGACCTTTTACTGACCTTAAACTGCCTCTGTAGCCGAATGGTTACCATCTGGTTTGCTACGCAGATGTCCCAAGTTCCATTCCCGGGCCGAGATAAATATTTGTACGACCTACATTTATTTCTCTCCTGAGTTTGGATGTAATTAGTGGTTGTCTATGTGTGTGTCCATGGCACCCGCGGTACAGGGTTTCCCTACTGTAGGGTTATGAGTGTGTGCGTTAAATATATTTTATGTAGTTTCTATTATTTTTAAGAGCTCCTTGTGAAAGAGTCCGTCCAGGGAAGTACTGCCACCTTACCTATATCTGTCGCCAAGCGGTAATGTGAACATTATTGCGTTCTCCGCGACACGCAATCAATCTCTGCCGTCTTCACCAGTTCATCGGCCCATCTGGCACACGGCCGACCTCTCCCTCGCTACCATTTAGAAGTCTAAACTAAGTCTCAACTTACCTGTCTCCTGTATGCCCAGACTACACAATGTGCATAGTGCCACAGTGGATATGTTCTGGGACACGCTAACCAGTCGCCGCAGAGCAATTCTTAGCAAGTAAATGTGATAATTTCTTGTCTATGTATTTTTTTAATTTATTTATTAAACTTTTTTGACCACAAGACGTTACAAAAGGCGGACTTAATGCAAAAAGCCATCTCAACCTTTAAGAAAAACGAAATTCACGAAGGCGGCAAATTATTATACTAAGAAATTATATATTACGTATTATTATTTAAATTATACTAATAATGAAACAAAATATTATGTTAATAATAAACTTATTAATAAACGAACCTACAACCTAACATAGTCATATACATGATATGTATATGTATACAGAATATTATGATGATGGTTATCACTGTGACAAACAATTTAAAAGATGCTCATGAACACTCTTTTTGATAGATAATATACTGGGAGACCTTCTGATGGACTCCGGGAGACCATTCCAGAGAGGTATCGATTGGAGAGTGAAGGAGTTTTCTATTTGTATTGTTTTATATCCTTGTATTCCTGTTATACAGGCCTTAAGTTTTTTTTACTAATTACCGTAATTAAAATTATCTCCACTAGTTTGTTATAATATGTGTGTTCGATCTTTGTATTAATAATTCTAACAAATTAGTGCTATAATTTCACATAAAAATAATTAAAAATTTAAATACAATGAATAGCGGGGCTGGTAGCTGTAAAGGTATCTAACTAGGTGACGAAATATCATAAAGTTCTCATAGATGGCGCTACGGCTAAAATCTCGTTGAAAAACCAAATACAAAGACACGACGCAAGCACGTAGAAAAATTTCTGAAGTCCTCTGGTTCGTTCCGTGGCTTAGTTGATATAGCGTCTCGCACGGTATGCTAGGCTGTACTCTATGAGTAGAATTGCTGGCTGAACATAGGTAATGATTATAGTTTGTATTTAGAATGCTTTCGAAGAAATGAAATAAGTAAGAAAATAGAAGATCTTGACAGACAGAGAGATTGATTTGTAACGCAATACTAAAAATATGTAAAAATGGTAAAAATAAACCAAAGTTTTAAGATGATCCCGGTTTTATATTATTAAAAGTACCTCTATATGTATGCTAGAAGACGTCGGTTCGAATCCGACCGGATCGAATGAATTTTTTCTGAGTGTTCGATCTTTGTTTTAATAATTAAAACAAACTAGTGGAGTAATTTCACATAAAAATAATTGAATATATTATTCAATTATACATAAAATTTAAATAAAATAATTTCGCTCTGTATAAGGTGTTACTAGTTGGTTTCTTGTCTAAATACCTATGTAAATTTAATATGTAATTGATGCAACAACTGTTGATGAACCTAATAAAACAAAAAATAGATGTATAAGTTACCACCAGTGTAACGGTGGACAAATTAATACTAGCGTAACAATGCACAGAATAAATGTATGTCACCACAATCGTAAAAAAAAACTAATTTCTTGCGCCGCTCTCGTACGAGACTATTCGAAATCGAAATGTCAAGTGTGAGTCGCGTCACAAGGTCGACCATGACATTCGTAACTTCATATTTACACCAAGAAATTCAAGAGCAATTTACAAGCAAAACAACTCTTGGTTTCATTAGCATACTATGACGTATCACGATGGTTAGCGATTATGCACGAAGCACATCTTCGTACTCTTGGTATTACAAAGTCACTTTTGTTCCATAACTTTTAATAATACATCAGATTTTAATTTCATACTAAAAATAAATAGATTTAAACGTATCACTCTAAACGTAACAACTCTGTGCAGGACGGGGGCGAGAGTCATCGCGGATGACGTTTTGAAAGTGTCAGATAGTACAGCAAAAACTTAAAAGTTTATTTTTAGTAAATTTGTTATGTTTGGTAAAAAGTAAT